AATTTTAGCAATTAAGAAAACGGATTAACAGATTTTTTCTTCTCGTCAGTGCCAACTCTTCTTAACTTTGATTGATTTATTTGATTTACTCAATTTCTTTTATCATTTAGGTCTAACTCCTTCTCAGTGTCAGCTCTTCTGAAAGCAGACATCGTATCGAAAGGAAAACCACCCATACCTGGCCCAACTTCCATTCAACACGAGCCAGAACCGAAGCCAGAATTCAAACCCAACGTTGCTCTAGCACCTCAGCCTCAACCGCTTCAACCCGTTCATGCACCCACCCCAATGAGGCCGTCCGGAATCACTCCACAGGCTTATCAGAATTTCCATCACCAGTTGCAAATGGGCAACTTCCACTTCCCTCACGTTCAAGGTATAAGATACTCTATTCGTAGGTTAATTAGATCATTGTGCCATTGGAGATTGTGCCCTAGTTTGGTAATCTTAGTATGCTGTAATCGATTGTACTTAATTGCAGCACCTGCTCCTCTGGGACAACTGCAAAACTTTGGCCTCCCGCCAGGTCCTTCGGGACCTCTTACCCCACAACGACCCACGCAAGCGGGCAATTACCCGGATCAGTATAGGGTAAATAAATTTGGAACATAGAGGTGAACGGAAAAAATGGATTGAATTTTAGATGCAACAATTTTTTACTATGGGAATGCCCGTGAACGAGTCGAGCCAAAGGGATATATGTGTTGTTTGCAATGATAATGCCAGCGGTTATCACTATGGAGTAATGAGCTGTGAGGGTTGTAAGGTGCGAATTACTATAAAATGGATTTAAGTACTAATTAACAGACCAAAAGAGAAAGATTTCTTTGTAGGGTTTCTTCCGACGGACTGTGCAAAAGAATATGGACTACACTTGCCACAAAGAGAAACAGTGCCCTGTCGATCGAGTCAGTCGAAATCGCTGTCAAGCTTGTCGCTTCCAAAAATGTTTGGATAAAGGCATGACCAAGGTCGGAATTTTTGTTTGAGACCGGTGACATTTTTTGCAAAGTACTCTTTTCCAGGAATCCGTCCGACAGGATCGCACGAGAAAAAGAAAAACGAGGGATGAAGAGAAGGATTCTGAATTAGACGAAACACGGTCCCTGATGAACACTGTTGATGAGGTCACAAGTGCTTATAGGGAGGTCTTTGGACAATCCGGTGTGCAAGAGGTTAGCTGTGATTTTCTAACGATGAAAAGATGGAAGGGGACTGAAAGAGATAAAGTAGATGATATTACTATAACTTTTCCTATTTAGGAGTTCATCACCCGAATACAACAGTTTGTCTCGAAAGTTTCCCTTTTCAAAGAGTACTCGGAAACTCAGCTGTCAGAGAAGATCCAGAAGGGAGCACGAGGTTGTATGGTAAGTGTACGGTAGTTGGTTCAGAAAAAGGTTCTCAAATGCAACTGACGGTTTTAGCAATTTATCGGGGAAAGTGTAATGTGGGACTATGCAAAAAAATTTGTCCAAATGATTGGCCTTTAGAAAAATTTTCGGAATGTTGAAAAAGAGCTTGGCAGTCGAATGAAGGATAGGTTTTACAAAGCCAACACATTTTCAAAAAATATTATGGGACTCAGTCTTAGTAAAATTCTCGGGAAGGAAAATTTATGCTTAGTGAGTAACTGGAGAATGTGAAACTACATTGGAGCCTTTTGGACAGGGGATTTTGGATGAAAAGTAACTGGAAAGAAGGTTCCCAAAGGCCACTGGTTCTAAAAAAATTTTTCACGGGAAGGGGAGGAGAGGAATGAAAGCGCGAATACTTTCAGAGTTTTTGCAATGTGAAGAAGAAAAACGTGGTGGTCGCTAAAAAAATGAGACTTATAAAAAACTAGCAAACCCGTAAGTAATTGCTGTGAACTGATCTCATTTTCGCAGGGGCAGGAGGTAATAGAGGTTAGACTTGGACTTCCTGTACATGCCAAATTGGGAAATTTGCAACCTCATTAGAGTTTTTCAAGATACCAAACGTCCTATAATAATTGAGTTCTTTTTCAGTTATTACGTGCCGCTTTCGTCCCCGGAGAAAGCTCGTCCATTGATTGTCCAGCTCTTCTGGAGCGACTTCGGAGTGGCCTCTCCGACATTCAGATGGAAGAGCTCGCTCTGCTCTCTGCTATTCACATCGCTCAGCCAAGTGGAATGCATGGTAGCGACAATGTGACGATGAAACTCAGCGAATGCCTTCAAGCCCAGATTCGAATCAGTAGCCCCGACAAGGAAAACTCCAACAAATTTACCAGAATGTTGTTTAAACTGCCTTTATTAGACGAATGACTGTAGCAATATCTTTGACTCATGTTTATCTCATTTACCACTAGAATCTCATTAAAAACGGGTAAATTGTTTTTTGCTCAGATAACCATTGTATTTTACTATGTTGCTCATTCAAGAGACGAGTATGATCAAAGTTGTGCGTGTGTTTTCGGGTAAGAAGAACTCGATTGTACCTATTTTTACGATTATACTTAATTTTTTCATTGCCTCTAGTAATGTATGTCCAGAATTTTATAACGAATGAAGTTTGTGTGAAATAGAATTTGCACTTCAAATTGTCAAGAGACC